GAGAAATTGTCATAACATTTCAGCAGTATTTAAATATTCACTTGTGTTACCATAGCCTCTAGGCTATGAGCCAAGAGCTGGAAAATAGATTTGGTGTAGAGACTGTTGAAGACAAAATGGGTTGACTGGCAGTAAATATCTATATGTCAGCCCAAACCTGAACCTCCATGAGATGCTGAGTGCTATCAGTAGCAGTAGGATTACATTCAACTGCAATTTGTAACCCTATGGACCAGCATCATTTCCCTCATTCTTTCGTTACGTTAAGTCAGGGCACCAGGCATAGCTAAATAGGAGACCCCAGTCTGGTGAAACTACGATACAGCACTGCTTCCTTTCGAGACAGTTAAAGCAGTATGCTATGGACGAAGCTAAGCAATCCCACAACGAAAGGATCAGAGCAAAGGACTACAATCCAGTCATGAATTATCGTAGACAACAAATGTGAGGAGGAGCCACAGTGACTACGGAATCCAGTGTGCCTCTGCAAAATGCCAGGCTGAAATAGTTACAATCATCATCAGCCAGAAGTCCCAAGTGCATCATCCATCTTGCCGTCCTCCTGATATCTCATCAGGTGCCAATCATCTGCCAATTTAGTCTATTCCACAAGTGGAACAGCTGAGGTCACTGAATATATCTAAGATCCTGACAAAATTCTGGCTGCGTACTTTTAGTTCCAGAACTAGCCTCGTCCTAAGCCAAACTTTTCCAGGACAGCTGCATCAATAGAAAATTGCTCAGTGTACTCTCAGTCATAAGCAAAGTGATGGAAGGTGTTAACAGTGCTGTCAAGTAATGCTTAGTCACCAGTAACCTGCTCACTAATGCTTATTTTGAGTTCCACCAGGACAGTTGAGTACAGCCTAGGTCCAAAAAGGCTGAATTCCAGAGATGAGGGTGATGATTCCCCTAATGTGGCATCAAGGAATCCAAACAAAATTGATATCATGACCTGACATGGGAGCAATCCTTAGATTATTATCTTGCAGTCTTGTAATCTTAATTCCTGCCTCCACATGATGCTTTTTATAATCCTCAATTATTTTTAGACCTAAAGTTGTCAAAAATAAGTTTTTAATTTGTTTATTTTCAGTTTGTTCATTGAACACTTCCTTCTAACTCCTCCTTACCTCATGGAGTGTATTTATTTGTGCTGTAACTATCCTGTTTTAAAATTTCTTGCTCCTGATCCATGTACCTATTTTCTGACATGTCTATGCATTTTATTTATTTGGGGGTGCTATTTTAATGTAGCCCAGCATTACTTTAATCTTTATCCTTTTTTTTTGTTTTTACATTGAATTCAACAATTTTATGATTATTTCCCAAAGTTTTTATTGCTCCCTGCTCATTTGTACACTTCCTTGAACTCAAATGGGCAATGCTGTCCCAAACCAATTCAGTTTTGGCCTCTAGAAGATCCTGGATTTTCGTCGCCCCACCACTGATGGTCATTGTTTCAGCTGCAAAGGCGCTAAGTTTGGGATCCTCTCCATCTCTATGCCTTTTTTTACTTCATTTATAATAACTCTTAAAGCCTACCTCTTTCCAACTGTTTAGCCATCTGCTGTAATGTTTCCTATGTGACCCGTCTAATTTTGTTTCATACTTTTAGGACATTTATTAGATATAGGACATTATATAACTAAGTAGCTGGGCTAGAAACATACTGACTTAGGAAGTAGTTCGTGTATTTAATTGAAACTAATTAGTGAAGTAATTTTGTGCCGCCATAATGGAAAATAGCATATATATCTTTCATAATTAGTTTGTGTTAATTTCTGGAAGAATCGGCAACAAAATATTGTTTGAATTATAAAAGAAATCTTGCTTCAATTGCCTTTATCTTGCCTACGTGCTGTTGTTGTTTTTATTGTTGTGGTGTTGAGTTAAAACAGATATCCAGAAAATAGAGATAGTAGGAACTGCCGATGCTGGAGAATCTGAGACAACCAGATGTACAGCTGGATGAACACAGTAGGCCAAGCAGCATCAGAGGAGCAGGAAAGCTGACGTTTCGGGCCTAGACCCTTCTTCAGAAATGGGGGAGGGGAAGG